TTTTAAAATATAATTAATGTACTTAATGTAAATAATAGCGATCTAGTCAACTCGAGTGGCACTGAAAATTTCGGCATGTTCTTTTTTACCTGCACTATTCAGTGCAACCCATGGAACTTGTCTAGTGTTTGTGTGAACTAAGTGCGCACTAACTTTTTTTCAATTGAAAACGCTATTAGTCACGTAATCTCCGTTTGACGCTGGTTTCTAGCGTCAGTAAGGTCAAATACACGGCACTCTTAATCGGGTTTAATAACATCTATTGTTGTAAAATTGGTCAATCACAGCCATTCCTCTGAGGAATGGAACGGCTGTGATTGGCCAGTCTTACAACTACGGATGTTATTAAACCCGATTAAGGATGCCGTGTATTTGATCTTTGTGATTGGCCAGTTTTACAACTGTGGATGTTATTAAACCCGATTAAGGGTGCCGTGTATTTGACTTTATTGAGTACGTTTACACGGCACCCTTAATCGGGTTTAATAACGTCCGTAGTTGTAAGACTGGCCAATCACAGCCGTTCCATTCTTCAGGGGAATGGCTGTGATTGACCAATTTTACAACTATAGATGTTATTAAACCCGATTAAGGGTGCCGTGTAATTGACCTTAATAAAAACTGCGCTTTAAGGTGCAATTTCATGGATGCTAGAAATCAGCGTCAAATTAAAATCACGAATAAAATCAGTTGAAACGGTCTGAACTTTATTTCCCACTATATTTTCTTGACAGTTCTGTGAAGTGAGCCTACCAAAATTAGATTTTCGAAGTTTCAATAATTGGAATTCAATAGTTGGTCTTTTATTGATCATTGTTGGTAATATTTTAGCTTTTGTTGGTTATTAGTTTGATTGTTATTAAAAAAATAAATATCAATGAGAAGTTAGCTTACCTAAATATATAATTTTAACCTTTAGTCCCGACGGTTCTTTTCGGCACCTTTAATCCCGACTCATGGGTCGTTTGCGTCTTTGCGTTATTTGGATCAGTAAAAACGCTTTAAAAAATCTGAAGAATATCATGGAGTTTCTTGCAATCTTCAACTTGAAGTCCCAATCATAATATTTTTTTTTTTTAGGTAGGGGATATGGCGCGTTCCGTACCCGTTTTCAAAAATTACAGCACTTTAAAATTTCGTTTAGGTCGCAAACGATCCATGAGTCGGGACTAAGGGTTAATAGATTTTAATTAATTATACGTCAAATCGATAGAAAATCGATTGTTGGTCTCAATTATGTTTTTAGAAATGATTGTTGATCGATTATTTACTAATTATAACAATAGTATATTGTGTATCAAGTGCGGAAAGTTGACAATTGTTCACTCGTGTGGGGTGGTCGCACTCGCCTTCGGCTCGTGCGTCCATCCCCCGCACTCGTGACCAATTGTCAATCCGCACTTGATACACATACTATTTTGTATTGCAAGTGCAGGCAAAGTGACTGTTTCGGCGCGTTTTCTGTGCGCGAGGCAGCCGATCGCACGCCGCCATCTTGCCGTGGCACGGTGGGGGAATAACCGGTTTCAATACATTTCCTACGGCTTGAGCCGTATACAATGACTTTTAACGCGGCTCAGCCGTAGATAATGGCTTTGAAACCGACTTATTCACTCACCGTGTCGCCGCTAGATGGCGGCGGGGGAAATCAGCCGTTTTCGGCACAGAAAACATGCACCGAAAGTGCCACATTGCCTGCACGTGTAATACAAAATAATTATTTTTCAATTGCTCACATATACTGCGCATGCGCATATATACTGCGCATGCTGTTTCCAACCATTAAGTTAGCTCTCTACAAATATATTATTCTGCGATCAGAGAAATGTACAATTAGATGAAACAGGTATTTTATACAAAAACGTTTAAATTGACACATTTATAATTAGTCTTAGTGTATTTATTAGGATTTTAAGTAATTGTACTAACGATATAAACTTTGTTTGAGAAAATAATATATAAAAAATATATATATAATTATATACAGGGTGTCCCATAATTCGCGAACCACCGCAAATGGGCAGATAGAGCGTGTTAAACTGAATAGAAGAGTTCTGTATCATTTTGCGATATTCACAATAATTATTGAGTTATTAACTAAAATATCTAAACGAATGAGCGGGTAGAAAGTGGTAGGCCGGACTCGGTGTGCATGTACCGCTTAGTATCAAAAGTATCATCTTACTTTTCGGCGCCACTACATTGGTCGCCGCTCGCTGCATGACGCCGCCTCTCGATCAAATAATGCTTTCTACATGCTTATTCGTTTAGATATTTTAATAAATAACTCAATAATTATTGCGAATATCGCAAAATAATACAGAACTTTTCTATTCAGTTTAACACGTTCTATCTGCCCATTCGCGGTGGTTCGCGAATTATGGGACACCGTGTATATATATAAATAATATATTTGTAGAGAGCTAACTTAATGGTTGGAAATAGCATGCGCAGTATATATGCGCATGCGCAGTATATGTGAGCAATTAAAAAATAATTATTTTGTTATAATTAGTAAATAATCGACCAACAATCATTTCTAAAGATATAATTGGGACCAACAATCGATTTGACGTATAATTAATTAAAATCTATTAAAATTGTATATTTAGGTAGGCTAACTTTACATTGATATTTATTTTTTTAATAACAATCCAACTAATAACCAACAAAAACTAAAATATGACTAACAATGATCAATAAAAGATCAACTATTGATTCCAATTATTGAAACTTCGAAAATCTAATTTTGGTAGGCTAACTTCACAGAACTTTTCTTGACGCCGAATCTAGAGAAAGTCTAGTAATTTTAATTTGATGAAAAAAAGTTATATAATAAATAATTTTTATATATCTTATATATTTATATATATGTATAATTATATACACATATATGTTTATTTATTTATTTATTTTGTTTTAAAAACCTTTTAAAGCTGATTTTATTGTACTTGCTCTTTTTCGTCAATATACTAACATTTAATCAATATATTGTAATATTGGTTCTTGTACGAGAAGTATATTTTAATTGATTTTATAATCTTCTATGAAACCATATCTTATATAAAACTAATTAGTGTGAATCTTTTATTCTTAATAAAATAAAATATTTCTTGGCTGCTTCCGCGACAAAATCAAAATTAAACTATTATTTCCCAGATGTTGAAAACATTATATAGACGCATTTCCCAAATAATTTCATATCAATTAAAGTAAAAAGAAGATTTTTTAAAAGTTATGTCTGCTAACTATTTGCTCTCAATTAATTTTTTCTGATTATAAATAAATTATAAGTTTCTAAATTATGCAAACATATTCCTAAATTTGCTCTAATAATTCCCAAACGATAGCAGTAATAAAAAATAAAAAATAAAAAATAAAAAATTTGTCCAATCAATATCCACTAAGCGTACTTTAAACTTGATTTCCAAGTGAAATAATTATTTTTCAAACGTTAAAACTAATACAGACGTGTTTCTCAAATAATTTTACGTTAATTAAAGAAAAAGAAATGTTTTTTTGAATTATTGTCTGCTAACTATACGCTCAATCTATTTTAATTAATAATAAATGAACAATTATTTAAACTACGAGAATCTGTTCCTAAATGTGCCTAAACAATTCCAAAGCGATTGGTATAACTGATAATAAGGAAATATAAAATTTGTCTGCTAAATAGATGGAGGTGTAAGCAGGTTACCCCGCAAAAAATAGAGAGCGCCCTCTTTTCTCTCTAGCCTAGGCGTAGGAAGAGAGAAGAACCGTTGTCCGGACGTGACATAGTACGAAATGGGATTCGCTCATTTCGTCGGGAGTAACGGAATGAGCCAATAGGCTTACTACACCTGTTGTAGATCCGGCCTTGATCGGATTTAAGAACATCTATAGTTGTAAAACTGGCCAATTACAGCCATTCCCTTGAAGAATGGAATGGCTGTGATTGACCGTCTTACAACTATGGATGTTATTAAACCCGATTAATAGCGTTTTCGATTGGGGTGCACTGGCTGCACTGAATGTCAGGCGCGTGTTCGATTGGTAGTGCCAATGCGCACTTGGCTAGTGTTGCGTGTTCGTTTGAACGCACAACACTCGCATAGTGCGCACTCAGTGCGCACTAAGTGGCACGAGATATTTTGACGGTGCCAGTTCAGTGCACTGGATGCATGCAAGCAGTAGGGCATTCTTTTGAACGAAAATTCGACATAATGAGCAATTCGGATTTGGCTCTCTTTAATATTTTGGAGACATTTTTGGAATCTTCTTCTAGTTCAAGAAGAAATAATTACAACTCTTCGAACTAGAAGAATAATTCCAAAAACTAAATTGTGTAGAATGTGTGAAAAAAATGGATAATGACACCGTAAGTGTTATATCTTTTTATATAAACATCGAACCTATACCCTTTTTTAAAATATAATTAATGTACTTAATGTAATAGCATTTTTATACTGAATAATAATAATTTTTATATTTGTCATACGTGATATTCTTGATCATCTTCTATATTTAATTACATATAATAAAAATCATTACTTAACTGAACACAAGATGTCGAGGTTACTTTTTCGTTCTTTCCGGAATCTAGTCAACTCAAGTGGCACTGAAAATTTCGGCGTGTTCTTTTTCACCTGCACTATTCAATGCAACCCATGGAACTTGTCCAGTGTTCGTGTGAACTGAGTGCGCACTGGTGCGCACTAACTTTTTCCCAATCGAAAACGCTATAAGATTCTTAAGCAGGGAACACACGCTCTTGCATAAGCGCATAAGCATATGTATAAGAAATTTGATTGGTTGAATTTCTTATGCATATGTTTATAGACCAATCAAGATTCTCATGTTTACGCTTATGCGCCTATGCAAGAGTGTGTGCTCCCCGCTTTATGCTTACGCTTATGCGCCTATGCAAAAGTATGTGCTCCCCGCTTTAGCCTGCTGAGCATTTCTGATTGGCCGTTGCTTGTGGTACACCCTTTATACTTTATATTTACATCATGGCCAGGGGGTCGATTGTGTAATTTTTTCTAAAGTAAAAATGTGAAAAGTGAAAAATTCTTCCAATCACACATCGATTTTATCTTAAAATCAATGCGTGATTGGTGGAAATTTTTCACTTTTCACGTTTTTACTTTAGAAAAAGTTACACAATCGACCCCCAGAATTTCGAAATGACTGCTTTCAGTGAATTTAGAATTTAGTCAGTGCTTTCTCAAGCTCCACTGAGCTTTCCTGAGCTTCTCTAAAGAGAGGCAAGATATTAAAATTTACGTAAGGTGGAAATCAATGATGATCGACTTTTTAGAAGCCGAATATGCTGCAACACTCTATCACATAAGTAAAATCGTATCGGATGGTAAGTTTAAATTTTATGCTTACGTTTGCGTATATTTATAATCTGAATTTTGATCATTGTCTCTCTTATGGCTAATTTCTTCCAATATACTCTAGCCTCTCTACTGTATACATTAATCAATGTAGATATGAAAGTAAGATATGATAATTCTGTTTTTAGACAGCATCTTTTTTTTATTGTTTAAATGAACAAATCTGAGCACTATATTATATATTGTAAGTTATTTCTAATCAGGCAACAGAATTTATTGAAAAAATATTTAAATTGATCAAATGCTCAATATATATTCTATCATCAAACAATATACAGTGAATAATATCCTACTTATTTACAGACTTCTATTTTGATTTACATATACAATAGCCTTTAATGTATGTGCATGTGTGTGTTTCAATATATATTCACTATGAAATTTATGATTTATGTTTTTGATCTTTGTTTAGATGGCTTATGTGAGGAAACCATAGACGGAGTACCAATACGAAAATTATTTGTCGATAATTTGGCTGAAAGAGTTTGTGTCATTTTCATTTTTCTTAATTCTTGTGCAATATATTTTAGTGATGTACTATTCAATTGTTTAAACTTTGTTACAGACAACTTTTAAAGATTTACGCAACTGCTTCTCTGTATATGGACATATTGAAAGTTGTTACTTACGTAGAAATCAAGGGAAAAAAAATTATGCGTTTGTTACATTCAGCAAAGTAGAAGATGCGATGGCGTAAGTTTGAAAAAGCAATTACTAGCAAATAATGTTAATGTTTAATTAAAATACAATAATTTTTTATAACAAATTGTAGAGCTATGCAAGATGGAAGTAAGAAACAAATAAGAGTACACAATAGAGACTTGAGAGTGATGGCTGCGGATTCCTGGCATCAACCTGATAGTATAGACCAAAAATTATATAATATAGGGAGAATATCGAACAAATCTTCTGAGAAAAAGTCTACTAATGAACAATACCATCAATATTTGCAAAATGATACTGAAAATGTGTCCATTCATATATTAAATGATGATTGTTTGAGCCATATTTTTTCATTTTTACCAATTATTGACAAAGTTCGCATAGAAAGGGGCAAGTATTTAATTCATATTCATATTAATGCTTTATACATCTAGCATGTTGCATTTATTACTTTTGTTTTTTGCGAGATAAACTGATACATTATTTATACATTGTTATTATTTTTACAGTTTGTAAACACTGGAGAGATTTAAGTCTAGATTCTTGGAAGGATGTAAAAACACTAGATCTTTCACCTTCTACATGGGGATTTATAAAAACTCATACTATTCGTACAGCAATACTTCGTAAAATATTATTAAAATGCGGCAAATTTCTAACAGAAATAAATTTATCTGATACAAGCCATTTTTTAAGACAAAGTACATTGACCATAATTGGAAAACTTTGTCCAAAGCTTACAAGTATCGATGTTACTGCATTAACGGTTTGTGCATCAGGCATTGGTACATTAGCAAATAATTGTAAAAATATAACTAGGTTTAGCTTAGGACCTTCAACATATGGCTGTGATAATGAATTAAAAAATCTCTTCAAAGTGAATAAAAACTTAGAATATCTTTCCATAAGCAAAAATAATATTGCAGGCAAATCTTTATCATTTTTGCCAGCACAAACTTTACATACACTTAAATTAGAGAGATGCGAAAATATTCAAGATAATCATTTTTCCGCAGTAAGTCAAAACTTTTTAATTTATTAAAATTGCTATTAATAAGTACATACATATGTATACATATATAAGACACATATTGTCGTTATCATGTGCAGGCATTGAAAAGATTCGAAAATTTGAAACATCTTGCAATATGTAACTGTTCTGAAATACGTATACTCACATTGCAAACTATCGGTGAACATTGTAAAGGTCTAGAAGAGTTAGAGATTGGAGAAGGAAATTTCTATTTCACACAAATATTGGATGTGTTGTATTTAACTCAGCTTGTCAATCTGAAAGTCTTGAAATTTGTATACAGTTGTTTAGTGACAGACACATTTCTTATTAATTTGGCACAACAATGTCAACAACTTATCTCTATAGACATTACAGGTAATTCACGATTATTATATATATATATATTTGTCAACTTTATAATAATGTGTTATTTATCCAACAGGTTGCAACGATGTGACTGATACTGGATTAGAAGCTATTGCTACATTATCAAAATTGGAAAAATTAATCATCAATTATTTAAATAAAATTACTGATAATGGATTGGAACGTATTTGCGGCTTAAAAGAGTTGGAATGTCGAAAATGTATGTACATTACTGATCAGAGTATGTCAATGTTTATCAAAGCTTCACCTTGCCTACAATTACTGGATATTTCTGGATGTCATAATATCACCAATGACACTCTTGATGCTGCTAAAGACGCCTGCAACACTCGAGCTGATAATATAATGTTGAAGATGATTATTGGAGGAACATCAATTTTCTCTATAAAAGAAGAAGATGAAGCACAACCGTCTCCGCTTTTGCAAATAGTTAACGTGGATTTATGTGACAATGACACTAATACATTAAGAAGTACGGATGAAGATATGTTTGATGATTTATCTATTGATAATATTGATAGATCTTGGTTTGATGAAGATTCAGATTTCGAATATAATTCTCCGATTGAGTCTGACGCTGAGATTTAAAAATTTGGTATACTTATTTTCTATGAATAATTATATTATCAACTATACTATTAATAATTTTTAATATATAATGTTGCATAATGATATTTTATTTTATATTATAAATGTTATTTTATTATATGAATAAAAAGAGAAGTATAAAAAAGAAGAGACACATTGTCGGCTTTACTGATGTGTAATTTATCCATCCAAATATTTTTCTGCATAATCTGTTGTGTGAGAAGATTTCACGCATGGTATAGCCTGCAAAACGAGTACTAAAATGTAATCGAACGATTAAAAAAATCAACGATTTTTATCTTTTCAACATTTATAACAAACATAAATTATAAATAGATTTATAGGAAACTTCAATATAATATACGAAAACTATTTGTTAAAAAATAATGATTAAGTAGTAAACATATATATATATATATATACATAAGTAAAAAGAAGAACATGCTTGACGATTTCAAAACCTCAGATTTGGTCAAAACATTTAATTTTCTATCGATAAATTACCGCAGATTTCTAATCGCCTATACTCTCGCTTTTACAATTGTCCTTTTGGATTTTAGAGTGATGTGAGATTGCAGAAGCCATTAGTGTCTACTCTTTCGTTGTCCACCTTTTTATTATTAAATTTTTTTGAATTATGATCAGGAGTCGATAAAAGTTCCCTACTGTTAAATTGTTAATCTTAAGTAGCTATCATATACATGTGAGTCATATTATAAATTATCATAAAAAGCAAATACTTAAGGGGATGCCGGATGATGTTTTTACCGACCGAATGCGAGAATATTTAGTTTTTTTTATATAACATTTTATTGACTATACTGATCAATAAATCCTTTTCCACGATTAAAGTACTTATAAAAACGGACCGCGCTAGCTATGTTTGCATATATAAATCGTATAAAAATCAAAAATTACAGTTTTGTTATCGGCTGCTTTGTGTCAGTTCGTAATAATACTTATTTAATAAAAAAAGTTCTGTAGTTTGTCTGTGCATGAAATATAGTATGCGCGGTAAGGATAATATGAAGAATTATTAGTAAACGATTAAAAGTGAGATTGCAAGTCTAATAAAAAAGTTATATATTAAAAACATTTTTACGCGTATGTGTTGTATACGTGCATATGTTTAGATATGTGTGGTGCTAACCCGTCGGAGTTCGGCCAACGCTCCGGCATCCCCTTAAATAATTTATTCTGGCTATCAAAATATAATTTTTCTTATAACAACTCAGTTCTATTCTTTTTAACGCAAAGTTATTGATGTGTTACTCTGATTAACTCACAAATGATACTAATATAATAATAAGTCGGCATCAAATGACATACCTTGTCATGTCACCGATAATTTTTCAAGAACATCAAAATAACAGCTTTCCAATGACTCAGTGTCTTTTTTAAATTAATACTATTTATGTGTTCCTTAATATGTAACATTTTCGACATTAATCTTTTTGATAATTACTTTCATAATCCAATATTTCCGTATTTTCCCAATCAAAAGAATGTGATAAAAAGATATGTTCCGAAATCACTGATAGTCTTGTTGAGTCCGACTTATTCTTAATATTATTTCTATGTTCTTTAAGACGGGTGCAAAGTTTCCTTTTGTTTGCCTTATGTATGTAGCTCTGAAATCATTACAATTTATTTTATAAATTACATTCGAGTTATTTGATAATTCATTTTCATCTTTTTGAGGTTTTATAATACCATTCAACCTTCTTATACACCTGTATCCTATTTTTATATTAGATTTTTTAATTGATGACGCAATTAGTTCTGATATTCCTTCGATGTATGGAATCGCAATAAATTTATGATTATCTTCTCCATATGTGGGATTATTAATGTGTGTCTTAATCGATATATTTACGTTCAATTTAACTCGCGTAAAGAGACACGGCGTGTCTTTTTCTTTCTTTTTCGGACTTAGCACGAGACACTACCGTGTCTCTTGATTCGTTATTAAAAATTTTAATCCACAATTTATTTTATTAAAAATGAGGTCAAGAGGATAACTATTGTCAATTAACATGTTAATAACAAACTATAAATTTTTCTTATGGAAGATAGGATGGGATAATAATATTGCCCTATCTACTAAATTATAAATAACACTTTTTTTATGGCATATGGGATGGATTGAAAAAAATGATAAAGTTCTTTCTGAAAAGGTTTTTTATGGAACTAATCAATGTGTATTGTATTATTAATGACAATGATCGATATATCAAAGAAATTTATTCTGTGATTATCCTCTCTTTCCATCGTGAATTTTAATCTGACATGGTAAAGCGGGGAGCACAAACTCTTGCATAAGCGCATAAGCATATGCATAAAAATTCGATTGGTTGAATTTCTTATGCATACGTTTATAGACCAATCAAGATTCTCATGTTTACGCTTATGCGTTTATGCAAAAGTGTGTGCTCCCCGCTTATCTATTAAAACTATGTAATACCACAGATTAATAGACAGATCGCCAAAGGTCTGGATGAAGGAGAGACCAGGGGGTCGATTGTGTATCTCAAAACCTAGTGAAAATGACAAAAGTGAGCATTCAGTTGATTGGCTAATTTTCACTATAGTGAAAACACGAAATATTTCACGTGAGATTATTCGACAAGAATTATTGTGTCGAATAATGTCAAAATGTGTCGTATATCCTACTGCATTATATGTTATGTAGAGTAGAGCGCGATTAAAATACGTATTAAAATACGTATTAAAAGAGAGGACATTACATTATACACCAGAATTTGCTGGTATGTAAATAATTATAGTGCATAATTGAGATAAGAAAAGGTATTTTTAAATCTATTCTTTACAGCTCTAATTGTAAATGCATGTTGTGTTTTACATAATATTGCTTATAAATGGAGAATTCCATTAAATGAAGTATATTTGGAGGAAAAAGGAGAAGTGCCGATACCATTTAATGATATAAATATAATGCAAGCAGAAGAAGTACGAATTAAGAAATATTGTGCGATGGTATTTTGAATAGATATATATTATTATATATATATATATATATATTATATTATATATATATATTTATCACATAAATTGTATCGCATAAAATTAGTACATTTCATAATCTTATAATAAATTAATAATTAAGATTATCACAGTACATTTCTAACTTTATAATAAAAGATTTTTAAACACATTTTTTATTAATGTATTATTTTATATCAATTCTCATAACACGTCGCGTCAATTTTATTCAAGCATGTTCAAAAATGTATCCGCCCCGACCGA